TTGTTAAGACACCTTCTATATATATCCTTATCGTTTTCTAGTTTAACTTAAGAAATCAGACTTCCACCTAATTTCAATGTATGATACAATTGATGCGTAAAAAGGTAAAATTTTAAGTGAGACAATTTATGCTAATAACTCCTTCTACTGAACTATATTGTAAGCAAACTATTAGATTATGTAATTCTTTAATTTCAGGATTTAACTAAACTATAAAATTTATATTTGAAAAACATGTTGATATATCATTCAAAAATTATGAAATTTTTTGTATCAAATTATCGATGTCTTGCACATCAATGTCTTCAATATCGCAATTCTTGTGAAATATGTTTCACGTTGTCTTGTTATAGTATTCAAGCAATGCTATATTCATAGAAGATATTTATCAATATTTATTTGACTTTAGTCAGCATGATGATCTGTTGAAACATAGATTGTGTTGTTACTTTCTTTGGGAATCGTACAAAATTTGTAACATATAAGACTATTGTTTTGAAGGGAAATATCTTGTAAGTTGTAGATATTTATTACACAGAGAATATTTCTCGTTAAAATCTTACACTAGAAAAAATCCTATAGGTAAAATCCCAATAAAGAAAAAAGAGTACACTATTCTTTTGACTATACCACAAAAGTTGCTTTATTAAAAATCTTACCATGAAAGCTCAATGAGACACAACTTTAGTCAAGAAAAAAGGAGTACAACATATATTTGCTCTCTCTCTCACGATAATATCACTTGAATTATAGTTTTCAGACATATTAAATCCTTCAAAGATAACGGTAAGAGTCATGCTAGATGAGTTGAATATAATCGTATTTTAGACTTCAAGGATATAATAAGATATGGATATGTGATTGCATCCACCACGATCTTGCAAAATTTATTATTTTGAGTCTTGCATTTCATTTTTCACTTCATTTTCTCATTTACTTTTTGTATAAGAATACATCTTTAGATTTTTGAACTGTAGATCTAGAAATTTCTAGTTTCTCTAGTAAATTTAATTTTGGTAGGATTGCGTCCTTCTATTTAACCAATCATTATTTTCGATCGATATGCTTTAATATCCATCTCATGCACCACAGTGGAGCAATTATACATATATTGCACTTTCAAAAATCATAAATATTAGGCTCTAACCAAAAGTTAATTATAATAGGGAACACTTCTAAGTTGGCATGATGCTTGATAGCGTTCCTTGAATTAAAATGAGAAGCACTTTATTTTCAATAGTAGTGATTAAGAAATTAATAGGAGACACTTTACAATCAATTTTGTTAAACATTTACCATCATCCCAACCAATATTTATCAAAATATTGGGATGAAGACGCATTGTCTTGATTGTATAATCTAAAAATTAATAATTAAAACTTGAGCAATGATTTGGTAAAATTTAGGTTGTGAAAACCACACGATTATCTAGTAAATGTATATATCTAATACAAATTATATTTAGATAGTCAACATGGAAATGATGAAGTCCCATATATCACCATAATTAATTTCAAGATTATAAAAATTTAGTTCCAACTTTAGTTAGCGATGGTCGATAACAGTTTTTCAATAAATAGAACAAGTATCATATAGAAATTCATTAGAATGAAAAATAATAATAATAATAAATAAATAAATAAATAAATAAATAAAATGCATCATTTTGGTCCAATGATGGTCTAATTTGTCATGCCAAACAATAAAATATTATAGTTATTAAACTTCTAGTTCATTACATTGTTTGCTTCAATTATTCTAATAGCTGTACAATAAAAACTTAGAGAATGTGAGAACATTATACTGGCTCTTGCAGAGCTTTACAATCAGATTTGCAAAATTCAATATGATATTGTATTGATTTTCAACATTCTTGTATTTTCTTTTCAATGAGTCACCATGAGTTTAATTGAATAATTGTATGTACGCTAGGTACATTACACACGTTTCGTAATATAAACATTCTATCACATCATAAAGTTTTTGAATCAAAAAGCTTCAAGTTTGTGACAATATTTGATTCAAATGATTTTATAATTTTTGAGAACTATGCTTCTTCGAAAGCATCATCATAATATTCTTGACGTATAGAATTATGCTTCTTCAAGAACAATGTCACGATATTCTTTTGATTCATTCATGAAAAACTAAATAATATTCTTCAAAAATATTAATGAGTATAATTTTTTGCTTATTTATAAATGACAAATTTTTCTCCTAAAATATTAATATGCATTAGTTATTTTTTAAAATAACCATATATTTTTCTAAAATAATGGATTATCAGTGTATAAGTTATGCTTCTCCAAGGACAGTAACATATTTATTAGACTCAGACATATATAAAGTTAATTTTTTAGACTAACACAATATTCAACTAGAATATTGGTTTATATCGAAGATTAACTTAATTTCTACGAGAATATTGATTTGCGTAAAATTTTATTTTTTTTAGAAATAAAAAAATAATTTTCTTCTTGAATATTTATATAGTTGAGTTGTACCACTTCAGGAACATCAATACAAAATTTTTCATATTAAATTGTGCTTCTTTATGAGCAATATTATAATATTTGTTTATTATAGTCCTGCTTCTTTGGAGCATTAGTACAATGCTCCTTATAAATATTATGTTTATAAAGTTATACTTCAAGAATAATAACATAATATTTCTTCGAAATATTTAAATAACATGACTTGTGTTTCTTCTAAAAAATCAATGCCATATTCGTTTGAAATAGATATAAATTTTTACTTTTATTTCTTCATGAACATAAACATCATTGAATATTTGAGCTCTATTTAAGAAAATTAATACTATTATATATATATTTTTTGAGATTATTAAAGATTGTAAAGTTGGAAAAATGCTACTCAACCATATTGTTTAACACACATCTCACAGTCGAGGTGTGGGTCTTACACGAATAAAATAATGCCGAGCTCCCATGTGTTTGTGATGTGTCAACCGATGTGGTTATGTAGCACGACCCGTAAAGTTGTGCTCTTTATGGACAATGATACCATATTAATCACAATATAAATATATTCTTCTTTAGGAGCATTAGTGAAGTCAAAATACTTAATACATCTAAGACTTCACAAAAATGACGCATATAATTAGCTAAAAATACATTTAAATAACAGACTTATTTGCATTGGAAAGTTTTAAAGGACCTTAAATAGTTGACAAATTTAATATTCTTTAAATACGTAAATTTGAAATTTTTGTGGTACATTAAAATTTCTCTACTTTTGACGTAGCTATTCTCACAAATGAACCGTTAATTTTGATCTTAACCGTGAAATTTAAACAAAAATGAGCTGTGAATGTTCTACCCAAATTTCACGAAGATCGGACCACAGAACGCTCAGATATCAACTTTTTTTTTTTTTTTTTTATCATAGTTGTCCATACTATCCAGATTCTTATTATTCTGCACAATTGATTTCAATTTTTTTTTTCTCTATTTTTGATTGGCTACTTTGTATTGATAACATATTTTAAATTAAAGGGCGAAAAGAAATATAAAAGAAGAAATGGAGAGAGTCAAAATTCAACTATGTAATTTTATTTTAATAATGGATTCATATTTTATAGGATTACAATGAGAGTTACAATCTAAATAAAATACACTCCTATAGATTATCTTATAATTTTAATAAAGTAGATGCTTTCTCTTAGTCAAATTTATTTGTAAAAATCAATTGACTAAACTTTCTCATGTTTGAGTTCGTTATTGAGCATTTATATACATGATGTATGTCAAGGTTGAATTAATTCTTTAAAAAAAAAAATTTTAAAGTAAAAAATCAATTCAAATCTGATCAACCCACGACAGGATCATTTCATTTGATTTTGAATTGAAATGATTAGTTTATCGAGATTCACCCGGAACCAAATTCTTAACTCTTTTTTTTTTTTTTTTTTTTTTTTTTTTTGTCATTAAGAAACTCAAAAACTTAAGGAACAAGTAGTACATAGGTGTCTTGAAATTTACTCCGTATTTCATAAAAAAATATGTTATTTATACATAATGTAATGTCCATAATGATATTCACTCATTTATATAATTATATCGAGGGAACCCACTTTGACTTCATGTGCGGGCCGACACACTTTAATGTACGCGTAGCATTATCCATCCACAAAAACTAATTTACTGTCCGTACATGTCCAATTATTCAACAAGAAAGTTCCGCTGCTCATTTTTTTTTGATCATCACAATATCTTTCTCTCAATTATTCTATTCCTGGCGAGGAACATGGGGACTAGTTGAAGTAATGGCCTCCCCATAATTGTTAAGCCAGCCGCCACAGCTCAACCACACAATATTTTCAATACCTAATACAAACACGACCAATTATAAATAACCACGTATCTTCGAGAAGCTTTTCTTGCCCAAGTCATCCATGACTGCGCACATGTGAATAAGAAAAATTCTCGGTGACCAATCCTCTGAAAGTCAATATTAAAAAAATCTATGAAAATATAGCAATGGAGGTCCCTCAAGTTTGGCGTGTGTTGCAATGTAGCAGTGACATCTTTATTACTCTTTCATTTTAGTAACACTCTTGTCATTAAATTCAAAGAAAAAGCAAGAATGGAAAGAAATGAGAAATGGGAATCCTATTCCTCCTTAAACCCAAAGAATTTCATTTTCTTACTCTTGCTTTTATTCAAATTGGGACCAAGGTGCAACACATGTCAAGGCTTGAAGACCTCTACTACTATTTTCCCTACGGTACAATCTTTCATTGCGGGTCATTCAAGTAATATCCTCTTCATAGAAACTTTTATTTCATTTCATTTCCTTTAACCTTCCTATTTCCCATCTAATCTTCCACTTTTCCTCCACATATTCAATCTTATCTCCTTCCGAGAAAAAACCTTGTACCCTAGGAATCTTACTTCAACACCTATATATATCTGCTAACTTTAAGGAACCCTCAAACTTCAACTGGCTAGGGTCTTCATGTTCTTGATTTCCCTTTAGAAATGGATGTAATACAAGGTGTTCCAAGAGTGATGAGCTGCGATAAGAAGACTAAAAGCAAGAGGAATGTTAAAAGTTCACTCAAAGTTGTGTATATTTCTAGCCCAATGAAGGTGAAGACTAGCGCGATGAGATTCCGGTCCCTTGTTCAAGAACTCACGGGGAGACACTCCGATGTGTCCCGGTTTATGGAGTCTGATGGTTGTAATGGTTTTCATGAGTTTGATGATCAATCTGGTGGAAGTTTACTGCCAAAAACTTTGATTGATGACTCGACTCAAAACGAATCACCAACGAGTTCAGATTCGACCCCTTTGGAGCCTATGGACAATCACAGTGTATTCAGCTCTCAGATGGAAAAACAATTTGAAGCGATTTTTTCGTCCGATTTGTTTTTTGACTCTTCTGAGTTGGATGTTTTAGGAAGTTATGAGGATTTGTGAATTTTGTAGACTATATATTTATATGTATGTATATACCAAATAATTCATTTGTTAGGATTCCAAATATGCCTTGTCTACATATATCATAATTAATTTACAGAGTGAATGACGAAAACATTTTCCTAATGTTTTTCATATCCTTTATGTGTTTATTTTTGCTGATGAAGACAGGATAACATGACGATATGTAGCTTGTAAGTGAAAAATATTACTTATTTTCATGTCAAAATATAGTCATATTGAGTATTATTGACTTAAAAATAGTTGCAGTAAATAAAGCTTGGCCAAATATTGCATTAGGGGAAAATTTTTTAGTACTCTCGAAGTATGGATAAATGATACGCATGTCAATTACGCAATGACCCAAAAAAAAAAAAAAAAAAAAAAAAAAAGGAGAAACAACAACAACTAAGTAAAAGTTTTCTCCCTATTAGGACAAGAAAAAACAATGCTTACGATATCTAATAAGATTTGACGAGCATCACTGGGCCATTCACTAGTCTTATTCTAGTTTGCAAAAGCTGTTCGATCTCGACCCTATATTTATAGGGTCCAATGTTGAACCGGGCTGATCATGCAACTTTAAGGAGCTGAACCAGGCTCAAGGTGTACAGCCTAAAATTTTTTATAGGACTTGAGCCCTCTTTGTTACAACTCATCTCAATTAGTTAAAAATAAAAATTTAACTTGTCCAAGTCTAAGTACGGGTGTTAAAAAGGTTCGGCGGCTCGGGCGGCCCATGGCCTAGCTCAGGAAAAGTCTGAGTTGGCCTGACTCGCAAGTCTGAGTTGGCCTGACTCGTGATTGGAGCAACCAAGTCGAGGCTCGGGCCGAGCCCCTTTTTGGGGACATGGGCTAAACCCAAGTCGGCCCGCAAGCCTTTAGGGGAAAAAAAAAAAAAAAAAAAAACAGAACAAGGCATAAAAGGCAGCATTTGCAGCCTTAAAAAAGGCAATCAGAAGGGGAAAAAAAAAGAGCCTGCCCGGCTCTGCTTGGAAAAGCTGGAGCAGAATTTTTTTGACCGAGCATAAGCTCGGCTCGAGCCTTTTGTGAATTTTATAGACTTTGAATGACTTCTATGGATTTGTTAAGAATTAATAGAAGTTTTCCATGAACTTCTGTAGACTTTGATTAAATATTTTTAAAGATTTTTCATCTTACAAATTCATTATATATCTGAAAAATTACAATTTTCTTACTCCATAATTAACATTTTCGAGAATCATAATGTCTACAAAATTTTCTTGGGTAAAGTCACTACCCAGTCATTCAATTTATGGCGCAAATGAAATAATGAAAAACTTTTACATCGATTTCTAAGAACATAACTAAAAGTTTTTAACGAAATTAAGAAAATTTCTAAGAACAAAAATTGTTCTTAACAAAAAAAAAAAAGGATCGATTGCTTAGAATTCTACGTTTTGAAACAATTGCATATAATTTCAATTTAAAAGTAATTATATGCATATAGAATAATCATAAATTGTTTACAGCAAATGAATTTAAGAGATATGAGAAATTTCTAGAATTGAAAGAAAAAAGATGTTTTTATTTTTTCGGCTCTGAAATCTTTATAAATCTTAGAGAATATGAGAAATTTTCTTTGAAATTTGTTATTTATATTTTTCATCAAGAAGTATCCAGAAGTCCAGTAAGTAGATAATTAGCCGAAAGTCACTATTTATTTGAATACTTTATAACTTACAGAGACTTCTAAAAAGTTTTCAATTAAATACCCGATGACTTTTAGAGACTTTTTAAAAGTCCATAGAAATCTCAATTGAGTATACCTTAATTTTTAAAGAATCTTTAAAAATCTCAATTGAATACACTTAAAAATTTCAAATCCTCGAGAGTTTTTAAAAGTTCCAAATGAATACACGCCTAAAAGAGAGGATCTTCCATTCACTATTCATTCTCGCACACCCCTTTTCACACCTATCTATTTCCCACCATTCACAAACAAGTTTTCTACTGTTTACTGAATACCTCGGGAAAATTGTAGTAAGGTACCAAACCTTTCATATATTAGCAAATTTGACCTAAATCTTTCATTTGTGCCACTAGAGGTATCAAACCTTTAAAAAATTCATAGGTCTAGTTCAAAATGATGCTTTCCGTCTGTTTAACCACCAAAACCATCAGTTGACCCCATAAATAAAAATTTAATTATTTTTTTCAAATAAAGCAAGGGCAATTTGGGCATTACACGTTTTTCCTTCAAAATAAAAAATAAATAAAAACTACTTTCCTTCTCCCCCAATCCCTTCACCCCCAAAATTGAAACCAAACCACCTAGTTGCCGGCCGCCACCACCAGCAACACCGCCTCAACATCGTGGATGTTACCAACTCCCAGCTTATATGAAAGATAATCTCCAACACATTACATGAAAGGCACCCCCATCGAAAGCTCAGCAAGGAGGGGAAAAAACATATCTGTAACATGCAACAGATGTGGAGAGGATGATGCATGTTCTACTGGTGGGACAGTGTGCACCGAGTTCGGGTTTTCTTGAAATGGTTTTTTTTTTTTTTTTTTTGGATTTCGCGACTGTATCTTTGATGACAAAGTCTGTGCAGGTAGCAGAGGACGTTAACTGGCGGCGGCGGCGGTGGTGGTGAATTTCGAAAAATGTAATAAATAATGTCCATTTGGAATAAGTTTCGAAACGTTTGTGTTTGTTTAGTACTCTCTAAATACCAATAGATGATTAGGACATTACATTGATTCATTATGTAGTCGTTTTCAATAATGTTACCTCATCTATAGCATATGTTCAAGCAGTTTAAAACAAAAATTCAAATAATCATCTGTCAAAAACAAATTCTGGATGTTTTTTATGTTATCAACTCCTTGATATATAAACTACTTCTTCTAGAATAACTCTTGATAACTATTTTGAGAATTCATGACTGTTATAGCATTTATCATGGTTTCACGAAGTCAGGGCACTAACTTCCAGAAGGCCTAACAAAGCAACGATGCCCAAGATGCAGCAAGGGATTTGTGAAATGGATGGAGCAATGTTACGACAAAGAAAAACACGAGCAATTTGAGGGTGAGTCAAGTGGTATATCAAGATGTATTTGTTCGGATAAAGATCCAATGCCAGATTTATCATGTATGTTGAGCTAAAATAACGGAACAACAGTATGCGGAGATCTCTCTCAATATTACTATCCCCAATGGAAAAGGATATGTAGAAGAGAATGAAAAGCTAAAGGGCAGAGCTTCATGCAATTGTATTGCTTATCTTAGTACTAAAAACGATCTTATTGTAATCGATGTGGTCTACGGATGTTATTTTAATCTTGAAGTTTTATTTATGTATGAATCCATACGTATTTCTTATGAAGTTTGAATACCGTGTTATTCAAGTATGAAATATTTTTGTTTTTGTTTAATTATAACTATATTTCCATGCACTATTATTCATGCTGTTATGAGTTTGCAAAGAATGGTAAGGCACAGCCTCTTCAGTCTTCCCCAATTTATAGAATGTAACAAAGGAACGCTGGAATGAGGCAAAGACTTGACTAAATTCTGGAACTCCTTTTTTGGTGTTTTATATCCTTTAGATATAACTAATCTTGTAATGACAGTAGCACAACAACTATAATCTTCAAATGACATTATGCTTATCTATTAATCATATTTTGATTTGCAGATTGTTATCATTTTACTACTGTTACATTTACTGCTGACCAGTTCGATATGATCAAATAAAAAATTGAGATTGAAACTTGGAATTTCTTCAATTGGAATCGCGTGTCCTGTATGAGAATGGCCTCTTTGGCTACTCTAATAATGGTTGTTATATCTAGGACAAGGTGATTAAAAACGGGGGCGGACCCAGACTTTTAGTATTGTGGGGTCAAAATTTTAAAAATAATTTTTTTAATAAACAACATAATATCAATGAAAATAAGTTTATATGTATTTTGACACTTTGAAAACATCGTATAATTACATCGTTATTAATATTATTAAATAAATTTTGCTACCTGTATAGTTTTGTTTATCATTTCATTAGAAAATGCTGAGCTAATATTGAATAAATTAAATTGAATATAGAAATTAAATGAATTAAAATAAAATTCAAGTTTAGTTAAGGAAGTAAATGAAATTTAAATTTAAAGCGAATATAATTCGAAAGTAATTCAAATTGCATTTAATCCGTAACGATCCTAAAAAATTTACATAATATTTCATGTAAGACTTCCAAATGAAACAATATAAATTATATTGAAAAATTTATCGTGCAGTAATAATAATTAATTGAATTAAAAAGAAAGAGTTAGACGCCTTTTTTGAGGCGTACGTTTGATACATATTTAACTATTTTCGATATCCGTTTGGACCATTCAATATGAAAACGACGTAGTTTTCGAAACAAATTTTTACATGACATAGACGATTTGTGGATTCAGATAGCACATAATCGCAAACGAATTTTTAAAGTTAGAATATTATTGAAATTCTCAAAATACTAGTTTCAAACACCCTATTTTAACATGTCATAACTTTTGCTATATTTGATCACTTCGCATGTCATTAATGAGTGAAAAACTAGACCATGAACACTTCAAAATGATATTAAGAATGTAATACAGTGCAAAGTTCAATAGCCAATAAAACATTTAACTCTGACTTTTGTGTTCATTTCTCACAATTGTTCCTATATAAACCCTACTTACAAAAGCGCAACGGATAAGGAAAACCAACAAGAAGAGGCACGGTGGGCAATGTAATTGGGAACATACTGAAGAATTGCGGTGAGTATGTGGAGGCCCTTTAGCTGCTCTTGTGATTGCATGTGTATTTGTTTGTCAACATGTATTGGTAGAAATTTAGCCCTGCCCATATATATATATATTTTTATTCAGTTTATGATCTATATTTCAATCAATTCTTGGTGTTAGTTTTTCACAAGGTTTCTTTTATAGTCTTTTCTTCAATCAAATTAAAAAAAAAAAAAAGGGCTCAAACTGTGTTTTGCTTTTTTCATGTCTACTATTCATACGTACAGACATTTAATTTAGCTTTTTTCTTCTTAATCTTTTTGTAACGGATGTTTAGAGAAACATTAGTCAAGATATTTATCTAATTTCCTTATTTCATTGTTGCTCTTTTATTTCCAATCAAGATTGGTCTTGTAATTTTGCTTTTCCATATTGCTCTTTTATTTCCAACAAAGATTGGCATTGTAATTTTCATTTTCATGAAGGGATCTATTGTAATGGCTATAAATTAGCAGGAGAACTTGAGTGAAAGTATCTCATGAATTTGTTTACAACTTTGTGTTGATTTGAGAGTTTGTTGGTTTACTCAAATTAACCAATACAAGGAGGCCCGGGACCCCGTGAAATGTCCCACCATATCACCACTATAGGTCACTGACGTAAGGACAATCCCTAGTCCTTATCCATCAATCGACCAATTACTCAATCCATATCACAAACACTAAACACTTTTCATGTATACTATTCACACAGACAGGCTTGATTCTCTATTGCTAATGAAATGCACTTGAATGTTTAGATAAGGAAGGATACAAGAGTTCAGCTAAATTTCTATTTATTTAATTTTTTTAAATCATTAGAATTTTTTTAAACCATTAGAATCTGTGTGTAAAAGAATCTGTGTGTAAAATTGAAGTGGTCACTTAATTATAATTATATAGTAAGTGAAGTTGACATTGGGTTTTACCATTTCTCTCAATTGGATGTTTACAAAATTTGTATTTCTATAGCTTTTAAATCATCAAATTTGTATGCATAAAAGTTAGTACATAACTAATCATCAAAATAATTTATATGCATTGGTGACTAAGTTTGCTGTGAATTGGATGATTACAGTGTTGGACGATGGGAATCAAACAAAGGAAACCAGCTTCATCTATGTAAGTCTTATAAACGCCGTCTATTTTGCTATTAGAGATAAGTATCTTTCTTTAAATAGTGTGAATTTTACCTTCTGTTAGATGAATTTTGTTTCAACTACTTATTTCCTTACTGTATTTTTATGTGCGTGAATGAAATATTAAGATACTGAACAAATTCTGAAATTAGCTTTAATTTTATAGAACACAACCAAAAAAAAAAAAAAAAATTTAAAAGAAGGGTTTGATTTCACATGTGATGAATGGGAATTCAAGCACACTTAGTTAAACTTTAGTGTAGTCTAAAATCACTTTTAAAGTTTGTGTCAAACATGTTTGGTCGTTCTTATAAGTAAACCTTTTCCTTAATTTTAAGTGTAATAGCAAAATTATTTTATCTATGAGACATAACTTACTTCCAATTAAAATAAATTGTTTTCTACTTTGACCAAGTCGTACATAAAACTTCACTTTTGCTTTTAAGTAAATATACTTATAAGTTTAAGCTTAGCTATTGTTGAATGCTTTTACATTGTACATTCATTATTCTTTTTCCCTTGTAAAACTTAATCTAATTTTTTAAAAAACAATATAAACCATCTTTTATTTGTTTATACCGCAAACAATAATTTTTGGTAACTATAATGGTCTTTTTTTTTTTTTTTTTTTTTCCCATGACAATGATGGCTTAAAGTGAAAATTGGAGAAAAAATTATTCACCTTTGGGATTGTCTTCATTTGGCACTTGTGTTGTCTGTGTGCTATGTAATGATTTTCTTTGAGTTAAATTTAGGGTACATATGAGGTACATGGTCCAAGTTAGTACCTGAATTCTCTGAATTTCATTTCTTGCCTATAGGATCAGCTAAGCACCATTCATTCTTGTTACCTCCGTATCACACTTTAATCGGTTCAATACTATTCGAGAACTGGTTTTCTACTATTTATCAATAAATATCCCTCTACTATTCACTAAGCCCTTGCTTGAATCCCATTTTAAGTGAATGAATGTATTTTTATATAGTGATTGATAGAGAATGTGTGATTTAAAATTAAGAAGTTTTTTTGGATTTACGTGTAATTTTTATTTTTATTGAAGAATGTATGGTTGAAAATGAATTTTGAAAAAAAAATGAAATTTTGGAAAAATGGGGCTCAAATAAGGGCTATGGATCTTTATGATTCAACTTCTCTTTGCGAGCTAGCCTGGTGCCCCATAAACCAGCTCTTCTCTCTTTTGTAAGTACCACCGCTTTATTACTTCTCTTTCTATCAACCATCACTTCTGCTTTCTACCTTAGTCATGGTATACAAATGATTTATGAAAAATAATTACACGTTAATGAGTCATGCAATGCATATAACCTCAAATTTAAATTATAGTTCATTTGATTTGCAGTCTATTTATTTAATTAAATCCTGGGCGTATGATGTACCTTCCAGAGTTGAGTACTCAGATTTTTTTGGGTATTATAATTCACGTCTAAATATGAAGATTTGATGATTCTTACTCCTTTATTTTGTTGGAAAATGCCTATTATTAGTGAAATGGGTCAACTTTGAGCCCACATTTCAGTTGGACCCATATCTTAATTTTAACTGGACCTAACTTATTCATATTCTATTCCACAATGTGATTAACGTGATATATTTATTCATCGAAAATCATTTAGAATTGAATGAAATATTTAATGTCCAAGTAACCTACTTGAAATTATGAATTAGTGAAGAATTTGATTTATTAAAAATTTGTCAAACACTTATCATACATAGAAAAGTTAGAAAACTTTGGTGTGATTTATATGGTGGAAGTTTGGGAATTGGGACCCAAGGGATACCAATAGTCTTTGGAAGGGGGAAAGCCTATATCCTATCGGGTTCAATCATAAGGCTACGCTTGCGCATTGTCGTTCGGCCGACTCGACGTGAGCACGTGCCCGTGTTGAGTGTTGTGGTCCTTTCACTAAATTAACTTTTTGGACAAAATATATTTGAATTTTTGGGTCAAATTATAAGTAATCAAATTCTTAAATACTTAATGAAATTTATTTTGATTGGCTTATTTTCGGGTAAATTTTTGGTCTAGATGGTCTGTCAATCGACTAAACAGTCAATTGTTAATTGATTAAACAGACGACTGTTAATCGACTTAAAAAACGAAGTATTGAACTAAGCTATTTGTTCGAGTTTGGAGGCTGTGTGAATATTAATGACCGCTCTGAAAGAGCTTGAAGTATGTTCAAATGACAACGAACAAGTCTATATATAGTCTGCCTTCCTATCAGAAACACTACTTTCATTGCAAACGTTCCTTGCTTTGAATTTCATTTTCCCTTTCTCTTGTTCTGATATTGTTCTCGAAGTGTAAAACACTTCATTGAGTTCATTGAAACTCCTACAGATTGTTGTGGTTCTTTCATAGGAGACGAAATTCACGATATCCTGGAGAATGATTTGTTGAACACCCTTAGCACCCGTGAA